CTCTCTCTTTCTTTCTGTCTCTCCCTCTCTCTCTCTCTCTCTTTCCCTTTCTTTTTTCTTTTTATTGCCCAGACTGGAGTGCAGTAGCATGATCATAGCTCACTGCAGCCTCAATTTCCTGGATTCAAGTGATCCTCCTGTCCAAGCCTCTTGAATAGCTAAGACTAGTCTCGAGTGCATGCCGTTATGCCTGGCTAATTTTTAAAATTTTTTTGTAGAGATGGGGTCTTGCTATATTGCCCAGGCTGGTATCAAACCTTTGGGCTTAAGGCATCCTCTTGCCTCAGCCTCCCAAAGTGCTGGGATTATAGGCAAGAGCCACTGTGCCCAGTCTTAAAGTTAAAATCTCAAAGAGAACGAAATCTTAGTTTTATTGTTTTCAAGTTTGGACTAGACAGACCTCTCACCATAATCCCCAAGAACCCACAATAATTACTTGGTAGTCACACTTCATTTTATGAAACTGGGTTGGCCAGGCGTAACCACCCATTCTTTGTCCTCTATCTCTGTTCACTAGACTTGACTTTAAGTGACTTTTGGCATTTGAAAAAAAAAAATCAAATCCATTCTCAAGCACAAGAAGATTTATCACCAGTGAAAACGCGTTGACAAATCTGACACAAGCTTCAAGGGCAAACCCAAAAGATTATCAAAAATGTTTTAAGAAATGGCAAGCATCAGAGAAATACGACGACTACTTTGAAAGGGGTAGCAATCATTTGGACAGGTAGATTATATCACAGACTGTTCCTGACCTACGATGGTCTGACTTACGATTTTTCTACTTTACACTGGTGCAAAAGCAATGCCCTTTTAGCGGAAACTGAACTTCCAATTTTGAATGTTGATCTTTTCCCAGGCTAGCAGTATGCGGTACAATACGCTCTGGCAGGGCTGCTCAGCTGTACAGTCATAAGAGCAAACAGCTGTTAGTCTGCAGTGTACTGAATTAAATAAAGTACATGAGCCATTCAACACTCTATGATGAAACAGGCTTGACATTAGATGATTTTGCCCAACAGTAGGCTAATGGCAGTGTTTAGAGCACCTTTCAGGTAGGCTAGGCTAAGCTGTGATGTTTGCTGGGTGCGGTGTATTGAATGTATTTTCGATTTACAGTATTTTCAACTTCCAATGGGCTTACCACGATGTAACCCCACCATAAGTCAAGGAGCATCTCTACATT